CTAAATAGTGTGTCTTGGGCTGGGCAGGGTAGGTTAGGGGAAGCTGATCAAAGACAAGGCTTTAGGTGGGGACTTGAATAAGACAGGGGTGCAGGGGTGGGATGGAGCCTCCCTGGTAGAGAGGCGAAGATGGGGGAAGGCCAGGCATATCTGACCAGAAGCGGCCTAGTGAGGTGGGCTGTGTGGGTTTACGTGGCTTCAGGGCTGGGCTGCGGGCTCTCACTGGAAAATTCGGGTGCTCCAGCTCCAACTCGCCGCCTCCCTCTCGGGTCAGCCAGGTCCAGACTCCGGAGCTTGCGGCTCAAGTCGCCGGAAGTGGGAACGACTCCCCAGCTGAGCAGCAAATTCTGCTTTCTCGGCCTCCGAGTCAGCCTCGGCCCCAAAGACGCAGGACCTCGTCAGGCTGTCGTCGCTGGTGTGGATGATCCCCTCTCGCCTCCGCGTGCAACACGTGGGCGCGGGGGTAGGGGGCGGTGGGGCGGCTGCTGGCGCCCGGCCAGGCCGGCTCGGTGGGCGGGCGGGATCACCCAGGCCTGGGCAGGCGGCGGCCGGGTCCTGAGCCCCGAACCTGGCGTCGGCGGACAATCCTCCCCCGACTCGGGGCGGGGCCTCCGCCCGGCCGCCCCGTTTTATCTGCGCTCCGGATGCTTGGATGCCGAGGGCAGCCTCTCGCCGCTCCGCTCGGCCGCAGGTATCCGGCTGCCGGAGAGCTGGGGGTGTTGGGCGGCGGGGCCGGGCGGAGTGCAGGGTGCGGGGTGCATCCGAGACTCGGGGCTGGGTGTCTTGGTTTAGGGGTGGGGAGCAGGCGGGGAGAGGCACGTGGGGAGGGAGGGAGGACCGGCAGAACCGCGCCGGCAGAGAGGGAGCATCTCCCGCTGGAGCGGGAGGCTGACGGTGAATCAGCTGGAGGGGGCGCCGCTGCGGAGGGAATGGATTAGGAGGAGCGGAGCTGGAGGGGGAGCCTCTCGGGGAGGAGCGGGAGGAGGCTGGAGGTCCGGGGCCGTCAGAGCCTCAAGTGGGAGCACGTCTATGAGGGGGGCGGGTGTTGGGGCGAGCTGGCCCCCGGAGGACCGCGGTGTCGGAGGAGGATGGGCACGGAACACGCTCCCCCCACGGAAGGGGGAGTCTAGGGGGATTCTGGGGGCGTAAGGGGGCGTGAGTACCTGGAACTGGGTGATGTGACGGACTCCCATTTGGAAAACCGGAAACAGTGGAAGAGCTGGGCAAGGGGCACAGAGGGACTCTCACTCCAAAGGAACCTAGGTCCGTTGGGATCGGGGCTCCTTTGGTGTCAGGAGACCATGAGGGATTCCCCCCACTTGTTGAGGGACGCACTTGTCTCGAGACTATAGGCTTTGAGGACCTATAGGGAAACCAGAGGTTTCCCTGGAGCATCCGCCCACCACCACCCAAGTCTGGCGGGAGTGAGAGGTCAGCTCAGGCCAAGACTGGGGAGTTGAGTGTGATATATTTTCAGGGCCTGGCTGCTCCTAGGTGGGTGTCCCTGATACTGGAGAGGGACCCAGCCTCCCATCCTGGGGCTTGTACCACCGCGGGGCCCCTTAATGAGAGGCAGCTTTTCCCCAGCTTAGTTCCCCTGCCAAGAAGTCAGTGGGGAAACGGGTCAGTGATAAACCAAGGTCCCTTTTCTGTCCCCGTGTCCTGGACAATTGTAGCTAGCTCACCCAGCCTCTCTGGGCCTGCTTTCCTCCATTAGGTGTTTCCCTGTCCTCAGAGCAGTTGTGAGTCTGAGATCCACAGAGGAATTTCTTTTAAGAGTGATTTATTTCATTCCGATCACACTGTTCAGTACAAATGGAGGCCCAAAGTGCAGTTACAAAAAAACAAAAGAAGTTTCTGTTCCGTTTTGGAAGACATGGAGGAGCTTTTTCTTTAAACTCCGTGGGAGGAACTGGCGAATTGGTTTGCATTGAGGGAGGTGACCTAGTTGCTGAGATAGCAAGAAGCCAGCCAGGGATGAAAACTTTGCTAGTATAATCTGTGGCCACCCACTGGGTGCCTGGGGGTTGACCGCAGTGGGATGAAGGGCAAGAGCACTGGTTTTGGGGTAAAATAGGCATGCTCTGTCATCCTGCCTCCCTCCGGGGCTGTGACACCAGCGTAGCCACAGGTTCAAAGAGTTGCTGGGAGGGAGAGGCGAAATGTGTGTAAAGCCATTGTAAATGATGACTGCCAGTGCCTAGTGTTAGTAATAATATTTCAGGCTCTGCCGTATTGTGTTATCCCTGTCAGGACCTCTCAAGAGGGTTTACTTCTGACAGCCCCATTGTTAACACTGGCCTGGCCTTAATTGTTTTTATCTAATGAGGTTAAACTTAGCCTTCCATGGCAAGATAAAGTTGTCTTTAAGAGAGTGTGCTGAACTGTCAGGGCCCAGAGAAGCAACATGAATATTTTGCTTGACAGGAAGGAGGCAAAAGAAGTAGAATTATAATCAAATACTACTTATAATAGGTGCTATTTAGTAAGGCTGTTAAGCTCCTAGAGGGCAGGGTATGAATACCCTTAGGTGTTACCCTTTAGCTGTTAATTAACTGGGCTATTAATTCCCTGAGGGTGGTGTTTTAACTGCATTGTTCACAGCTGAAGTTCCAGGTTCTGACACTGAGTAAGCCTAAAACAAATACTGTTGGAATGTCTCAGGGCCTAAAGGGCCGTTTGAAGTCTCCGGAGAGTGCATTCTGTCCTGTGACATTTGGAGAAACAGGACCAAGAAGAGAAGAGACTTGTCCAGGGTCACACAGGGATTGAGTAGCTGAGTCAGGACTAGAATCAACAAAGCCGGTGGAGCCAAAGCCCTGCCAGAGCCAACATCTAGCATCTGTGACTTTGTTTTTCTTGAGGTAGCTATTATTATTCTCAGATTTTAAATGGACAAGTACAGGGAAGTAAAGCAAAGTCACACAGCTGGTAAGTTCCAGACCTGAATTCCCATCTTCACATAAAAGCGGGGACGTGGCTTGTCTTGACATAACTGCCGGCGCTGAGTAGCCGATGCCCTCCCTGGGAGCAGCAGCTCTCTCCAGTTCTCCATGATTACCAGCCGGGGGGCTTCTCTCTGGGCTTTATTTTCCTGGGCTCAGGGGTATTTCATTTGTGTGGGTGAGGCCCATCTGCCTCATTCACCACGTGCCCCCAGCCCAGCAACCCTATGCCCCGCATACAGCACTCACTGAGTGGGTTCAACCCAGGGCTCTCCCACTCCGAAGCCCATTCACCACCTAATCCCCACAAACTGGTCTGCTGTTTTGCCCCCAGAAATATTAAGGAGCCTCTCTCTGACAGTGTGTATCAGGGGGAGACCAGGGGAACTTGGGGGTGGCAAGCTTTGGTTGAGAAAGCAGGTGAGGAGGTTGACCTCAAGTTTAGAAAAGGGAAATGTGAATTGGGAGAGCTGAGGAGGTGGGAGGGGAGAAGAAGATGATGCTCAGGCTGACAGAAGACTTCCCACTGGTGGTCCAGTGGTTAAGAATCCACCTGCCAACGCAGGGGACACAAGTTCAATCCCTGGTCAGGGAAATTACCACATGCTGCAGGGTAATTAAGCTCACATACTACTGAGCCCAGGTGCCCTAGAGCCTGTGTTCCGCAGCAGGAGAAGCCACTGCATTGAGAAGCCTGCACACCGTGATGGAGAGTAGACATCACTCACAGCAACTAAAGTCTGCAAGCAGCAAGGAAGATCCAGCAGAGTCAAAAATAAGTAAAATAAACTTAAAAAAAAAAAAAAAGACATCCCACTTGGGCCCTGGAGATCCCAGTTCTGAGGTTCAGCCAAACCAGAAAGGCTCCCAAACCTGCAAGACAGGCCACATATTCCCTGCCAGCACAGTCTCCCACCATTACCCTCCTGCTCAGGGATGGGGCTCCGGGGGCAGCTGGGGCTGAAGCCCCTTTTCTCTGGGGATTTCAGTTCTCTTGGGTCAGTGGGCAAGTGCAAATCTTCAGGGCTCTGTGAATCCAGAGAGGTTACTCTGAATGGCCTTTGCTAAGAACACTTTAATTATTAAATAAGGTCAGTGTCCCCAGAAGTCCAAACTCCAGCCATATTGCCCTGGTCCCTAAATATACATTCTGCTGCTGCTGCTGCTAAGTCGCTTCAGTAATTTTCGACTCTGTACGACCCCATAGACGGCAGCCCACCAGGCTCCCTCGTCCCTGGGATTCTCCAGGCAAGAACACTGGAGTGGGTTGCCATTTCTTTCTCCAATGCATGAAAGTGAAAAGTGAAAGTGAAGCAGCTTAGTCGTGTCTGACTCTTTGAGACCCCATGGACTGCAGCCCACCAGGCTCCTCCATCCATGGAATTTTCCAGGCAAGAGAACTGGAGTGGGGTGCCATTGATACCCTCAGAGGAAGGTAAATGTTTAAAGAGATACAGATAACTTTGTAAGGCCTCCAAACCCAGTGGAACCAGATATTGAGGCTTAAAAGAGGACTGAGTTTTTTTAGAGAACCCAAAGCAAACTTTTCAAGTTAGGAATATTTTAAATACTAACACTCAGGCTAGGGATACTTCAAATACTACTACTATTAATAATTGATACTAATAATAGGAATCATTTACCGAATCCCTAAACTGTGCTAAAATTGTTCTCATAGATTTAATCTTTGTAGCAGTCTATGAGGTAGATAATGTTAAAATTCCCATGAGGGAGCTGAGGATTAGAGAAGGTAAGTCACTTGTCTTAGGTCACACAGCTAGTGTGTTATGGAATCAGAAGTCAACTTGGTTTGTCTGAATCTGAAGTCCATCTGCTTCGTGAGCCTTTATAGTGTCTGTTTTCTCCTTGATTCCTAACTTCCTTCCATTCTGATTCCCACTGAGTAGGGGACAGAAGCCAGGCAAGTTTGCCTGATATCCATCAACCAGGCCCTGGACACCTGGTCTCAGCCCAGCTTTGCCTGCCTTGCTGTGTGATCTTGGGTAAGTCACAACATTTCAGCTAGCTCTCAGTCTCCCCAGATATTTCTTTTTCTTTTTTTTTTTTTTTTTTTAGATATTTGAAATACAACTTTATTCTGATTCTAAACGAAAAGGAATGGGAATGACAGTAACAAACAAGATTCCACCTCTCAATATTGTCATGTGACTATAGCAGTCTTATATTTGAAACTCAAGGAGGAAACAACTGTGTTCCAAAACACCTAAATATGCAGGTCCAAAAAATGAAGGTTTTTTTTTTTTTAACAGCCTCATTCACTCCAAAGCCCATCCATCTCCTTCAGCATCCAAAGATTAAGCACATGTTCTGCTTAGCTATATAATAAAGTGGCAAACACGCTGCACCACTGACATCACAGGACAGTTGCCTATAAAACTAGACTTCTGACGCTGGGCCCCAGCTTCACTTTCTCACAGGTCATCATCTTCATCCGGGAGAGCAGTTGTCTGAGCAACCTCTAAATCGTGCTCGTACTGTGCTGCCAAGGCTGGGTCCATGACCACCTCTGGCGGGGCAAGAGCAGGCATGGCGACAAACTCCAAGTGAGGGTCTCCAATCAATTTTCTAGCAAGCCAGAGGAAGGGCTTTTCAAAGTTGTAGTTACTTTTGGCAGAAATGTCATAGTACTGAAGATTCTTCTTTCGGTGGAAGACAATTGACTTTGCCTTAACCTTTCTGTCCTTAATATCCACTTTGTTGCCACACAACACAATTGGGATGTTCTCACACACTCGTACCAGATCTCTATGCCAGTTAGGCACATTCTTGTAAGTAACTCTTGATGTTACGTCAAACATTATAATGGCACATTGAGCTTGTATATAATAGCCATCTCTCAGTCCACCAAATTTCTCCTGACCAGCTGTATCCCATACATTGAACTTAATAGGTCCTCTGTTGGTATGGAACACAAGAGGATGGACCTCAACACCCAAGGTAGCTACATACTTCTTCTCAAATTCACCAGTCAGATGACGCTTCACGAATGTAGTTTTTCCAGTACCACCATCACCAACCAAAACAAGTTTGAACTGAACTTGGGGTTCTCCTTGGGCAGCCATCGCGATGTTACTTCCAGAAGCGTCTCCGCGCCCGTCTGACTGAGGGCTTCCCCAGATATTTCATGCAGAGGTTAACCATGAGCTTCCTTCTATAGCTGAGGCCTGGCTAGTAGGGGCAGAGTTTAGCCTGGATTTGACCAAGGTGGTAGTGGTAATAGAGAGGAGGGGGGAGGGTGGAGGTGGTCTTTAGCCCCACCCTCTGGTGACATCACACAAGACACCTACAGTCCCTGGAAGCCCCACGCCTAGTGACCCTCACCTGTGGAAGTGCCATCCAGTGCCTGGCATCTGGTGAATTTTTTCTGTTCTATAGCAGAAGTCATCAGCCCCAGTTTTTTCAAGAGAAACCCTTAGGTAACTGGTGCAATTAGGGAGACTTGGAGGGGGGTCATGGGCCTTCCCAGGTGGTGGTAGTGGTAAAGAACCTGCTTTCCAATGTTTGATCCCTGGGTCAGGAAGGTCCCCTGGAGAAGGACATGGCAATCCACTCCAGTATTCTTGCCTGGAGAATCCCATGGTCAGAGGACCCTGGCAGGCTATAATCCATGGGGTTGTAAAGAGCTGGACATGACTGAAGTGACTGAGCATGGGGGAGGGCCATGAGGGTGTACTGGACTGGGGTGGGATGCCTGGAACAAGGCTGGGGTGGGCAAACTATTCAGAGGATGCCCTGAACCTGCCCTCTGGATGACCATCCTCCTCCTTCTGGTCATGCTAGACTCCTGCCCCTGCTTCTTTCCCCTGGATCCAGGGCCCCTTTCATGGAGTCAGGAGATGGGAACCAATTCTGAAAATAGAGCTATTCACATGGAACTGGGCTGCTGGCTGATGTCTAAAGGAAACTGGGCGACTAGACCTCTGTCATCCCAGTATCTGGTGTCTGGGTTCTGTGCTCAAAGTCCACTGTGTATGGGGGAGGGGGGTACAGGGAGTGAGCTATCACCCACCTGAGGAGGCGGCTGTGAGCCAGGCTTCACTGGTACAGACAGCAGGGAGCTGGTAACTGGGTGAGACTGAGGTCCTTGGATGCAAGTCAGTTGCTAGAAGCCTAAGGAAGCAATTTGCAGGAAAGGACCTGTCACCTGCTTTAGAACAGTGTTTTCCTTTTTTTTTTATTTTTTTTTTATTTTATTTTATTTTTTTTAATATATATATATATTTTTTTATTAGTTGGAGGCTAATTACTTTACATCATTACAGTAGTTTTTGTTATACACTGAAATGAATTAGCCATGGATCTACATGTATTCCCCATCCCAGTCCCCCCTCCCACCTCCCTCTCCACCCGATCCCTCTGGGTCTTCCCAGTGCACCAGGCCCGAGCACTTGTCTCATGTACCCAACCTGAGCTGGTTATCTGTTTCACCCTAGATAATATACATGTTTCAATGCTGTTCTTTTGAAACATCCCACCCTCGCCTTCTCCCAGAGTCCACAAGTCTGTTCTATACATCTGAGTCTCTTTTTCTGTTTTGCATATAGGGTTATCGTTATCATCTTTCTAAAGTCCATATATATGTGTTAGTATACTGTAATGGTCTTTATCTTTCTGGCTTACTTCGCTCTGTATAATGGGCTCCAGTTTCATCCATCTCATTAGAACTGATTCAAATGAATTCTTTTTAATGGCTGAGTAATATTCCATGGTGTATATGTACCACAGCTTCCTCATCCATTCGTCTGCTGATGGGCATCTGGGTTGCTTCCATGTCCTGGCTATTATAAACAGTGCTGCGATGAACATTGGGGTGCACGTGTCTCTTTCAGATCTGGTTTCCTTGGTGTGTATGCCCAGAAGTGGGATTGCTGGGTCATATGGCAGTTCTATTTCCAGCTTTTTAAGAATCTCCACACTAGAACAGCGTTTTCCAAAGTGGTTCTGTAGGATGCGGTCATCTGTGACAGGAAGCAGGGCAGCAGGAGTGGCTGAGAGTATCTGGACTCTGCAGTCACAGAGCTGGGTCCAGATCCTGGCTTCACCTCTCTCTACCTACCTCACAGGCTAGTTATGGGAGCTGCAACAAGGCTATGAGTGAGAAAGTGAAAGTGAAAGTCGCTCAGTGGTGTCTGACTCTTTATGACCCCATGGACTGTATAGGGAATTCTCCAAGCCAGATTACTGGAGTGGGTAGCCGTTCCCTTCTCCAGGGGATCTTTCCAACCCAGGGATCGAACCCAGGTTTCCCGCATTACAGGCAGATTCTTTACCAGCTGAGCCATCAGGCTATGAGTGAGCACATAGTGAACTCTTACTACATTGCAGCTAGCTTTATAATCATTACAGGGAAAAGAAATCCTTGGTCATGTAAGCTTGGTAAATGTATTGAGTTGGTCAAAAATTGTTTGGGTTTTCCCATTAACATCTTATGGAAAAACCTGAACGAAGTTTTTGGCCAACCCAATAGGTTCAACAAAGTGAAGCAGGCTTCTTTGGTGCAGGCCTTCTCTGATCTTTTAATATGCTCTTAGGACTTGGGAAGTTCTAAGAGTGGGATATGGAGCACTGAACTGGATGTAACAGATTCTAGGGAGCCAGGAACTAAGGCACTATTGCATGTCATCATTCCCAGGCCTTTGTCCTCATGGTGGAATGGAAAGCTAGCTGAATTGGGCAACTCTCGGGAAGGTCTTCCTGTCTTTGGGCTCCTGTTTTCTCAAGGTAAAACAAAGGAACTGCATGAGATGCTTCCAGAGGCCTTTTCTGGTTCCCTGAGGTTTGAGTTGGGAAGACAAAGCTGTAGACAAGGGTGGAGGCCAGGCTGTTGAGGCTAAAGACCTGTCTCTTGGGGAGGAGAAGAAATCTAGTTCTGGCAAGTGGTTCAACCAGCAAGTGACTTGAGGGGTTCTTGTGCTCTGCATAGATGTGGCCCCACTACTGTCATTAGCAAGGTCTTGCTGATGAATTGGTTCATCAGCAAGATCTGATTCCTAAACCTGCCAGGCCATCTTGGAATAGAAAGTAGAGCCTCTTGTACTCCCCTGTTGTAGCACCTCCCGTGCAGTGTTGTAACGATTTATTTAACTCCTACTTCCCTACCAGGCTGGGAAAGGTCAGAGGCCAGAGCTGACGCCATAATGTAATGCAGGAGGAGCTAAGGGATGCAAATCAGGTGGGGTGGGTGAAGTGGAGTGTGGGCTGGGGGTGGCTTGATGTTGCCTTTGCACAACAAGCACCCTGTGTTTGCTTGGACTATGTGAGAATTATTGGGGCTTTGGGGGTGACCATGGTGCTGCTGATGGCGGAGAACTTGAGTGCTTTATCTTGCCCAGATTTCTTGCATTTTAGAATGACTGGTGCAAAGGAAGTTGCAGTAAATATCTGATGAATGATGAACAGAGTAAGTTTGGTTGCTGCGTCCATTAAGCTTCTTGGGGAGAATTTGAGGGAGGAGAGTTGTCTGTCTAGCTAGTTGTCTGGATAATTTATCAATACCTATTTGATTTAATGAATGGCACAGTGAGTAATGATAAGCCTGAATTAAGCAACTAGTATCAGGCAAAAACAGTATATAATTATTAAATTATTAATAGTACTTGCCACCTTGTCTTGCAGAGGACAATTTTGGGAAGTGGTTAAAATTACAAACTGAGAGACTTACCTGGTGGTCCAGTGGTTAAGACTCCACGTTTCCAATGAAGGGGCTGCAGGTTTGATCCCTGGTTAGGGAACTAAAATCCTACATGCTGTGCAGTGCTGTCAAAAAATTGTAGTAATCATAATAAAAAGACTGCAAACTGAATTTATATCATGCCTCTACTGCTTCTTAGGCAGGGTACTCAACCTCTCTGTGTTTCAGTTTCCTTGTCTGAAAAATGGGCGTATGATAGTACCTATCTCATACGGTGTTGTGTTGATTAAATGAATCAAATATGCATAAATTGCTTAAGACACTGTCTGGCACATAGCACATGCTGTGTAAGCATTTGCTATGCTTTGGTTTCCTCTCTATAACCTCTACCATATTATGAAGTTCCTGAAGGCAAGGATCAAATTCTTTTCTACTCTCCTCTCACCCCACACTCTGGGACCCAGCACAGGACATGAGGCAGAGAAGGAGCTCAGTAAGTGTTTGCTAAATGAATAAATATGTTTTAAATGATAACTTGTATAATCCATTATAGATCTTCCACAGGGGAAAGTGAGGGGGCATTAAGGAGGTGGTGGCTCGTACTGGTCTTAAAAGATTTCAGTAGAGGGAAAGGAAGTTGGCACAGGGTCTCACATTTGGGTTAGGTGGGAAATGAGGGTGGGAGCAGGTCATGGGGTCTTGAATGCAGGGTGAGGGGTTAGATTGGATTTATTTGCAGTTAGCAACATGGAAGTTCTGGAGGCAGGAACTTTTCAGCAGGGGTGTGGCTAGGGCTGTTTTTATAGGATCAGGTGTTACTAGGGACTTGTCGGGGGGGAAAGTGGCTTTTTGTGTTGGGCCTTGAAGGCTATGAAGTATTATCAGGATGCTATTATGCTGTTTTTTCATTCCACAAGCATTAAATGAATGAAAATGAGCACCAGCTACCTGCGAAGCACCAGGGGTTCACAAAATAATAAGACAAATAAGCCTACCCTGGAAGAGCTTGCATTAACAATTTAATGCCTATGACAAGTGTTATAATGGTCAAAGGACAGTAGGCATTCGAGTAGAAGGGTCAGCATTAGAGGACTGGGGGGCCAGGGAAACCCAGGAAAATATCACAGAAGAAATGGGTTTTGAGGGATGACTAGGAGTTTGCACAGAGAAGGCAATGGCACCCCACTCCAGTACTCTTGCCTGGAAAATACCATGGACGGAGGAGCCTGGTAGGCTGCAGTCCATGGGGTCGCGAAGAGTCAGACATGACTGAGTGAGTTCACTTTCACTTTTCACTTTTATGCATTGGAGAAGGAAATGGCAACTCACTCCAGTGTTTTTGCCTGGAGAATCCCAGGGATGGGGTCGCACAGAGTCGGAGACGACTGAAGTGACTCAGCAGTAGCAGTAGCAGGAGTTTGCCAGACAGGCAAGATGAGGTAGATGTCTCAGATGGAGAGAACAGCTTACCCAGAGCTACACACATGTGAAACAACAGGTCCAGGGGTTTGATGAGGCTATGGCTGGGTGTGAGGTGTACTGTGGTTGAGTAATAAAGCTGGAAAAGGTAGTAGGGACCAGATCATGTAGGGTAATGGAGGGTTAGAGACCCAGGCCATTTGGAAGAAGCTAAAGGTAGAGGTAGCAAATCTGTTATTAGCAAGGACATTGTCACCACCTTGTGAACACTGATGGCAGCATGAACATGGGAGGAAAACAACGGGGGCTGCTGTATGGAGCCTGGTCTGGAAACAAGTTGGCTGACATAGTGAGCCTCTAAGTAACACCTGCCTCAAACATTTATTGAGCACCTTCTATATGCCAGGCACTATTCTAGGCCCTTGGGGTAGATAAGGGAGCAGAAGAGTCGTTGAATCAGAGCTGAGCCCTCCCTGAGGGTGACTCTGCTCCTTTTTAACTCACTGTAGGGATAAGGGGGTAGGGAAGAGGGAGGAAGAACTGGGCAGCAAACCCCCCCAGTTGCTGCTCACGGGGCAGGAGGGTGAGGACCCCAGCTCCCTAACCTTGCTCGGGCCTCTCTCTTCCAGCTCTCTGCCCAGCCCACAGCCATGGCCACGATGGTGGCCCAGAAGCTCAGCCACCTCCTGCCCAGCCTGCGGCAGGTCCACCAGGAGCCTCAGCCCTCTGCGCCACCAGAGCCTGTGTTCACCGTGGATCGAGCCGAGGTGCCGCCCCTCTTCTGGAAGCCGTACATCTACGTGGGCTACCGGCCGCTGCATCGAACCTGGCGCTTCTACTTCCGCACGCTGTTCCAGCAGCACAACGAGGCGGTGAACGTCTGGACCCACCTGCTGGCCGCCCTGGTGCTGCTGCTGCGGCTTGCCATTTTTGTGGGCACTGTGGACTTCTGGGGAGACCCGCATGCCCAGCCCCTCTTCATCATCGTCCTCGCCTCCTTCACCTACCTCTCCCTCAGCGCCTTGGCTCACCTCCTGCAGGCCAAGTCCGAGTTCTGGCATTACAGCTTCTTCTTCCTGGACTATGTGGGTGTGGCCGTGTACCAGTTTGGCAGCGCCCTGGCGCACTTCTACTATGCCATTGAGCCCGCTTGGCACGCCCAAGTGCAGACCATCTTCCTGCCTACGGCTGCCTTTCTTGCCTGGCTTTCCTGCACTGGCTCCTGCTACAACAAGTACATCCAGAAGCCTGGGCTGCTGGGCCGCACTTGCCAGGAGGTACCCTCAGCACTGGCCTACGCCCTGGACATCAGCCCCGTGGCGCACCGCATCCTTGTGTCCCCCGACCCTGCCACAGACGACCCGGCTCTTCTCTACCACAAATGCCAGGTGGTCTTCTTTCTGTTGGCCGCGGCTTTCTTCTCTGCCTTCGTGCCTGAGCGCTGGTTCCCTGGCAGCTGCCATGTCTTTGGGCAGGGCCACCAGCTCTTCCATGTCTTTTTGGTACTGTGCACGCTGGCCCAGCTGGAGGCCGTGGCGCTGGACTATGAGGCCCGGCGGTCCATCTATGAGCCTCTGCACACCCGCTGGCCCCATAACTTCTCCGGCCTCTTCTTGCTCACTGTAGGCAGCAGCATCCTCACCGCATTCCTCCTGAGCCAGCTGGTACGGCGCAAACTTGATCTTGATCGGAAGACTCACTGAAGGGGGTGGCACCTGGTAGGGAGGGAGGTATAGTGGGGGCCCAAGGGTCCGGATGGGAACAGATGGGAATAGATGGGAACCTTGGCTCTGGATGGGAACAAGTCCTGGTAAAGTTGTTTGTGTCTGGCCCGTGGTGATTCTCTGTGCACGCCTCAGCTGCCAAGGGCAGCACTGGCCAGTCCTTGGATTTGAGGATTGGCTGGAGCTGCTGGGGTCTACTCTTGGGCCTGCCCTAGCTGCCTGCCCTGGGAGAGGGAAAGAGAAAGATGTTGGTCACCCTGGTTTTGCCTCCCCTCACTGCCTCTCTCATTTAGGGGTGAGGATGGGGGATCAGCTCGGGCTAAGACCCTGAATTGGAGCTTCCAGATTATCTGGGAGGGTGAAGCTGGGATTTAGGTTAGAGTGAGATCTGAGCTGAGGGACAGGGGAAGCATTAGCAGCGCCCTCTACCCAGATCCCCTTGGGAAAGGACAGCCCTCTCTTGTGTGCAGGACTTTAAGGTTCCTTGAACTCCAGCTTGGAGCTTTGGTGCCCCGGAGAACCCCCAAAGGTAGAAGATTGTGCCCGGTAGAAATGGATCCCATCCAGTGCCCCACGGCTCTTCAGTCACTGTCCCAGGGAGCTCCACCCTCCTAGCACTGGACTCTCTGTCCCACTCATCCTGCTCCCATCATCTTTCCTGGGTCCCTCGTTCATGACTCAGTGTTTATGACTCAGTATTTATCTGTTCAGCGTTTCTTGGGCCTCTACTCAGAGACAGGCTATTGATGGGGCCCTGTGGATTAATGCAGGATGGTAAAGGCTTTACTATCGAATGAACTGTCGGGGAAACACTGAGGAAGGAATAATTAGTGCTGCCTGGGACCCTCAGGGTCTTGGGTTGAGAAGGGTGAATAGGAGTTTGCAGATGGAGAAGAGGAAGTGCATTCCAGGCAGAGGGAAAAACCTGTTCAAAGGCCAAGAGGGATGGAAGGAGGAGTTCACTGGGGTTGATATCAGGGGTGGTCTGGACTTTGATGTCCTGGATGCAATAAAATGACTGCTAACAGCTTCCTCCTTGTTTCTTGTCTCCTATTCTGGAGAGAGGGCCCTGGTGCACCCCTTGGGCCTGCTCATTGTGTTGGAGGAGGTTTTCAGGGGGAGCTTGGGGGTTGGCGAAGGGAGGAGATCCTGTTTTATCTTTGCCTGGGGGTGGGGTTGGGGCCTTATTTACTGTATATGGGAACTTTTTTTTTGATAGAAAAGGTGGGGCACTTTTATTACTAAACAAATATTAGACATTAAAAGAATATGTTTATATAATTTGACAAATATTTCATTTCTTGGTCTTTTAATCAAGGAGGATCTTTATGTTAAATTTAATGATATCGTTATGTGTCAACATTTACAGTATTGCCTTTCCCCCAGTACATAAGCAATAAATGGCAATACAGTGAAGGAAAGTTAGGAAGTACAGGTAAGAAAAGCAAAAAACCTTGAATGAATAAGGAATATCACTCCACTGCTAAAATATCCTGTTGTGCATATATTTTATCTGTGGAGATTGTGGTTATGTGTGCTAGCATTTTTGTGTTTCTGAGGACTTAGAACAATGCTTGGCGTGTGTGTGTGTGTGTGAGTGCTGCTTAGTCGTGTCCGACTCAGTCGTGACCCCTTGGACTGTACCCCACCAGGATCCTCTGTCCATTGGATTTCCAGGCAAGAATACTGGACTGGGTTGCCATTTCCTTCTCCAGGGGATCTTCCTGACCCAGGGGTTGAACCCCAATCTCTTGTGTCTCCTGCGTTGGCAGGCAGATTCTTTACCAACTGCACCAACTGGGAAGTCCAGGTGCATTTCTGAGGGGCTTTCAGAATTTACAAAGTACTTTCACAAACCTTGCTTGATCCTCTTTAAAATTCAAGGCCACACAGTAAGTACTGAAAGCTAGTTCTTGACTCCACAATTTTAGTTTTCATTCTACTTAACGTTTTCTAAATCCTTTCCCATGAGGTGGTCTAGTTATGCTGAGTTTTTTGTTTTGAATTACAAATGTAATCCGTTTAAGGTAGTGCTGAGGACCCCAGCTATGGAGCTGGCAGACCAGAACCTCCTCTCCTCTTTTTGAGATGTTCCTAGGCTTCCTAGATGTTCCTTGGCTTCCCAGGTGGCACTAGTGGTAAAGAACCCTCCTGCTAATGCAGGTAGGCCATAAGAGACACAGGTTTGATCTCTGGGTCAGGAAGATCCCCTAGAGGAGGAAATGGCAACCCACTCCAGTATTCTTGTCTGGAGAATCCCATGGACAGAGGAGCCTGGCTGGTTACGGTCCATAGGGTCGCAGAGTCGGATACGACTGAAGCGACTAAGTATGCATAAGAACTCAGCGATAAGACAAGGAAAAGCTCTGATGGTTATGAGTAACAGACTGCAACTAACTCGACAAAAAGAAAATGCATATTCCCTGTGCAGCGTCGCGAACGCGTTCACACAGCACAGTTCCGGAATACAACTTTTGGATAAGAAAGCAAAAAAAAAAAAAAAGAAAAAAGAAAGAAAGAAAGCCAGAAAAACTTGGCCTTGGTAATCCGCTCCACGCCTCACCGTTGTACTGGTTGAGGCATAAGACCCGAAGAGCTGGGGGAAGGGGGCGGGGCTTGGGCCGGGGCGGAGCTGACGCTGAGGGCGGTGCCTGCGCCGGGGAGGTCGCGGCGTAGCTCCGCCCCCAGCGTTGGCGGGAGATTCGAACGTCTGCCGAGTCTCTGATGGTGGTTGCGTGAAGTGGCTTGAACTTCCAGCGGGTATCCTGTTGGCTTGGTCTTCTCAGCGGCCATGAGGCGCAGAGGCCCGGAGAAGGAGGAGGAGGCCTGCGGCGTGTGGCTGGACGCCGCGGCGCTGAAGAGGCGGAAAGCGCAGGTGGGTCGTTGCGGGAGAGAGAGGGTGGTTCGGGAGGGCCTAGGGGCCCAAAGGCGTGTGAAGAGAGGCGTTTGGGTGAACCTGGGGATGATGGAGGTAGAGTCGGGGGCGAGAACGAACATATTTGGCAGTTGAGGGGAGAGAGGGGCCGGAGTCTGAAAAAGGCTGAAAAATGGGATTTGGGAAGGGTGGAGAGAAGAAAATGGGGTAGGAAGGCTGACAGGCAGGTTGGGTGGGGCGGCATGTGAAGAGGCTGGGAAAGCGAGGTTTCGAGGTGAGGGAGAGGTTGGAGAGAAAATTTGCTTTGAGGAGCGTAATGGAGCAGACAGGCTCCTTAACGTAGAATCCCTGCGAGAAGGTAGCAGAGGCTCAAGTACGCGGAGGGGTGGGTGCGTGTGCAAAGGGAAGTTCTCGCCGGAAGGGTCTTGTGCCCAGAATTGGTCAGGGGAGGAAAAAAAAAATAGAAGAAAGGAAAAACAGAAAAAAAATAGTGAGCATCCACTGGATGCCACACGCTGTATTAAGTATTAATATGTATTCTTTGTATCATCATCTTTACGGGAGTAAGGAGACTGAGGTGAGATTAATTAAGCCAGGTTCAACCAACTAGGAGAATTAGAAATCACACACAGGTTTGGCACATATGCAAGATTCTGTTAGTCATTACAAAGAAACAAAAGTATGAGATAATAATATTTACTGTTTATTGAGCATTTAAGCCAACATTGTGCTGAGTATTTCTGATGAGTTATTTTGTTTGGTACAATTCTATGTAGTAGTGATATAATGATAACCATTTACAAATGAAAAACAGGCTCAAAACAGATACTTAGGGCAGAATTCTTGCTCTCAAGTTGGTTACAGTCTTGTGGAGAAAAGAAAAAAGTTGTACAGGTAAGAGCAATATGTAACTTACTGTTTCCTATGTGTAAGAGCAATATGTAACTTACTGTTTCCTATGTGTCAGGCACTCAGCTGGAACGTTACATGCCTTATCAGTGGCTGGTACTTAAAAGTAGGTACTGTCATATCTCTGTTTTATAGATGAAAAACTTGAGGCTTGGATTTAGAAATTTGCCTAAGTGAGCAGGGGTTCAGGCTCAGTTCTAACTGCTGCAAAGGCCAGTGCTCTTAGCCATTGTGAGGCAATATGTGTCCAGATGAGTGGTTTCAAGAGAAATGTGATTTTCTAGGTCAGAGAGATTGTCATGACTTGAGGTGATCAGGGATGATTTAACTGAGAAGTTGGAAAGGAATTTGAGACTGGAAGGGTATGCTGGATTTGGGTGTTTTGGGCAGTAGTCCAAAGACCAGGTGGCTAACCTAAACTATTAATGAGAGTCTTTCCTGTAGGTAACTACAACCTGCTGAACAAAATCAATTGAGGACCATTAAAAAGTGTCTTACAACTAAAGTTATTTTTAACAAATGAATCACTTCCTTAAAAAAATTTTTTTAAACTTAAAAATCTTCTTGGAGTAGGTAATGTGGTAATTTAAAATGTTTAGCATATGCAGTGAAATATCTAACATTTATGACCTTTCCCTGTCTCAGAGGTCACAACTTTCTTGGGTATCCTTCCAGAGATAATCTGTGCATCTACAAGCAAATGTATAACTATTCTTTTAAATAGTAGCATCATATATATTGTTCTGCAACTTGCTTCTTTCACTCACTGTATCTTAAGGATTATTTCATATGGTTCACAGAAAGCTGCTTCGTTCATTTTAAGGACTACATAGCATTCTGTTATGAAATAGTATCCATTATATGCAATAATAATGTCTTAGTCAGTTAAGCTGCCATAACAGAATATCATAGACTGGGTGGCTTAAAACAACAGAATTAATTTTTTCATTGTTCTGGAGGCTGGAAGTCTGAGATCAGAGTGCCAGTATGGTTGGATTCTGGTGAGGACTTCCTGGCTTGAAAACAGCTGCCTTATTCCTGTGTCCTCAAGTGGTCTTTTCTTGGTGTATATGTGTGTGTGTAGAGAGAGACAGAGATATATGCGTGTGCTTGACCTGAAGCCACAAGAAGGCTAATGTTGCTGAAGCAGAGTGAGGCAAACAGGAGTAGATGAGATCTAAAGAGTGTGAGAGAGCATATGTGGCCAAATAATGTCATGTGGGTATTAGAGCCTCAACATGCGAATTTTGGAGTACACAATTCAGCCATCACAAGTATATATATGCTGTGCTTATTTGCTCAGTCACGTCTGACTCTTTTGT